TTCCGTGGCCTTAGTAGACCCGGCTTCCTCCTGCCGCTGAGGCCACGCAGCGGGGACTTGCCCAACTGCACCATCCAGCCATTCCGAGAGCTGTATGTATGTTTGGCCTTCTCTTCTTTCTTTTTAGAAACTTATTTTCCAAGAATAACTTGTAGGTAAAGGGAAGAAAAACCTGCATTGGAGCAGGAAGCTCCTCTTCTCGTGTCTGCCAAAAGTTCAGGGTCACTTGGCTTTGAAGTGTCTTGAGCAAATCCCAGGTCCCTGTACCAGAACTTCTTACTGGTGTCCCATGGTTATTAGACTCCGGGAAGTGGGTTGCATCAGAGTGTTGGCCGGGCAGAAAGGCTCCGCTTGCTGAATCTACCCATTCACTCCAGGCTGCCATGCCCACTGGGTCAGTGAAGAACCAATACTTAATAACTGGTGACCTTGACTGAATACCAATCCAGGGAGAGCTAAAATTCATACTTGAAGAGATCTTTATATTTGTTTTTATTTCTGATGTTTTGGAGTTGCTACAGATAAATTTGAGAAATCCAGCTGAAGTAGAACAGTTGTTTTTGTTGAAGTGGTTCTATAGAAGGAGCCCTAAAATACAGGCCAGCTGCTGAGGCGTATCCGGGGTTCCTCTACACCGGTCCTTGCTGGGCTGATAGGAACTGGGGTCCATCTGCCCAGAGGATACAGGATTGAGCGGGTCTTCATGGGAATCAGTGTGTGTATTTTTGTGTCTCTACCCAGCAGGGACAGAGGTTAAGAGTGCCCTGGCTTTAGTGTCATTCAGACCTGGCTTCCTTTCATGAAAAATTTATAGTTTCTGGCTTCACTGCTCTATTTGCTGGCCATGGATCACATTTCCTAATCTCTGAACCCGTCTCCTCGTTTAGTAGATGGGCTAAGTGTCCCGATTCTCTTATAGGAATCATGACTGTCAGTGCAGAGCAAGGTGCACACAGGCAGCACTAGCTGCCCCTCTGCCTCTCCTTCCTAAGTCCACGCAGCTCTTCGTTTTGACAGTCCAACTCGACCCTTAGACAGAGAACAGTGTGCTCAGGTGGAGAACAGCTTTCTTTGTACAATGGGGTTTAGCCATTTTCAGCTAAGAGCCACCCTGCACAGTATAATTTAACTTTTGGTTCTTGGTGGAGATTTGAGAGTTGTCTCAAAGTAACACTTTCACCTAATCCATTCGTTTGTGGGACTCAAAGTATCCTATCTAATAAAGAGGGAATATGCTAATTGATCCTCACACTGTTGCAAAGATTGGCCCACAGCCAATAAGGAGGGAATATGCTAATTGACTGCCACATCCTCAAAGAAGACAGCACCCACAGCCACAAGATGGTTATACCCAGACCCCTCAGCCCCGCAGGCTCAGCCTTGCTGCATACCTGCCTCCGAGTCCCCCAGTTCCCTCAGCCCCCAGCTGCCCAGGGCCGGCCCAAGGAGCAGGCAAGCCTTGGATGGCGGCTGCCCAGCCACCCAGGGTTGCCCGAGGCTCAGGTAACTAGGGCCGGCTGAGGCTTGTGCTGCCAGCAGTGGCAGCAGCAGAGGTGCGATAGGGCAACACCTTTCCCAGATTGCCAGGTTGCCTCCCGTCCCTGAGGGCTCCTGGGCTGTGAGAGGGGGCAGGCCAGGCTGAGGGACCCCCCTCCGGTGCCTGAATTTTCATGCACCAGGCCTCTAGTATTCCATAAAGAGTGATGCTTTGTGTCCTCAGATTCTATGTATGCCCCATACTGCCTGGAATGTCCCAGATGTGCTTGCGGTCAGGGACTTGTGTGATGTGTAGGCCACAGGCCTGGAATAAATAAAGTCAGTCAAAGGAATATTTCTGTTAGCAGCTCCTTATCTGGGCTGAGAAGGAGTCAAAATAGAGGACCTCTGCTAACTATAAGTCGTAAAATAATAGCCACACTTTATTGACTGCTTTCTAAAGCCCATGCACTCAGTAGACTTGTCGTAGTTCATGGCAGTAAATCTTCACAGTAATCCGGTGAGTGCTACCAAATTTATAGATGAGAAAACCAAAGTGTGGAGAGAAGCCAAAGTCACTTGGCCAAGGTCACTTTGGGTAAGCAGTATTGCGGGAATTCAAGCTGGGTCTTTCTGACACCAAAGGCCATCGCTGGTCTGGGTGTTGACGCTGGTTAATACCTCACCGGAGATCACACAGCCGGTAAGGGGCAGATCCGGGATGCAAACAGGCCTGCTCTGAGCTGTAGTAGGCGGCCGGAACGGCACTAGGTGTCTGACCTGGGGGTCAGACCAAACTTTGGTTCTGCAACCTTAGTGCTTGGGTTCTGGCTAGGAAAGAATTCAGAGCAAGACCCAAACTGTAAGAGAATATTTATTTATAAAATCACAGAGGTAGAAAAAGTAATTAATTCCTAGAAGAAAAGAGCTTGGAAAACAAGTTATAGTGATAAAGGAAGAGCCCTTGGAGCCTGGGAGGGAGTAAGTTTAGGAGGGGGAAGTTGAAGGGAAAGGGAGAGGGCCCTGGGTTCTCGTTAAGGGTTTTACGGTGGAGATTTTGGGGGCGGTCCCAGGGAAAGATCTCAATAGCACATTCAGCAGTGTTCCAGGTGTGTCCTTTCAGGGTTGGGGTCTCCACTGATTGGCCAGCACCAGGGCAGGGGTCATTATCCAATGCAGCTGGTCCTGAGGACAGCTGTGGCTGGTTCGGTTGCTTCTCTGGGCCTGGAGCTGAAATATGACTGAGGCCTAGATGTTATCTCCAGGGAGGAAAGGTCCGGGGCTGCTTGGGGAAGAAAGATCACCCTATAATGGGTTGTCCCTTGCTAAGCACCTGGGGGGTTTCCATCCTGCTGGCCATCTGTACCTGGCCCATCGTCCTTGCTCTGCTCGTGTCTGTCTAACTGCCCACCACAGAACCACGCTGCTCTGTCGCAAGCAGAGGCTGGAGGTGGAGTGACCGTCAGCGAGGCCTCATCGTTAGGGAGGTGTGGAAACAACTGCAGTGACCGGGTCCTGGGTCTGGATTAAATAGGAGGCTCCTTTTTCCTTTCCTGATATTTATTTCTCTAATTAAATTATAACTGTACTAAAGGAAATGATTTAACAAATGAAAAGTCGTTTGTCCTGCTGTCTTAAAGCTTTCATTTTTCTTTGTTCCTTCTCAGTTATTTTTAAATATATATATATATTTTATTGATTTTTTTTTTTTTTTACAGAGTAAGAAGGAAGAGGGATAGAGAGTTAGAAACATTGATGAGAGAGAAACATTGATCAGCTGCCTCCTGCACCCCTTCCCCCCCCACTGGGAATGTGCCCGAACCCAAGATACCTGCCTCTCGACCTTTCAGTCTGCAGGTCAATGCTCTATCCACTGAGCCAAACCGTTTTTAGCCCTTCTCAGTTCTAAACTCTGTTACATAATTGTTCTTCTTAACGTTAAATTTTACCCTAATACATCTTTCTGCCTGTAGCCTTTTCTTTTCTTTTCTTTTTTTTATATTTTTATTGATTTTAGAGAGGAAGGGAGAGGGAGACAGAAATAGAAACATCAATGATGAGAGAGAATCATTGATTGGCTGCCTCCTGCACGTCCCCTATTGGGGATTGAGCCCATAACCCAGGCATGTGCCCTTGGCCAGAATCGAACCTGGTACCCTTCAGTCTGCAGGCCAATCAATGCTCTATCCACTGAGCCAAACAGGCTAGGGCTGCCTGTAGCTTTTTTGTTTTTGAATTGCTTCTGTGACTGTAAATTCTAGAAGTAGAATTACAGAGTCAGAGGACTTAAATACTTCTATTATGATAGCTTTTCAAGAGTTACATTATTTACATAGCCACTAGCCGCATCTTCTTTGGTTGCTCAATCTCACTAACATTTGGTTTATATTATTTTTTTAAAAAAATCTGTGTTGCTATTTAAAAAAATTTTTTTTAATTTTATTATTTTTAAAAATATATATTTTATTTATTTATTTTTAAGTATATTTTTTTGATTTTGTACAGAGAAGAAGGGAGAGAGATAGAGAGTTAGAAACATCGATGAGAGTCATCGATCAGCTGCCTCTTGCACACCCCCTACTGGGGATATGCCCGCAACCAAGGTACATGCCCTTGACCAGAATCAAACACGGGACCCTTCAGTCCCCAAGCCGACGCTCTATCCATTGAGCCAAACCGGTCTAGGCAGAAAAATATATATTTTATTGATTTTACACAGAGAGGAGTTGAGAGGGATAGAGTTAGAAACGTTGATGAGAGAGAAACATCAACCAGTTGCCTCTTGCACACCTTTCAGTCCACAGGCCGACGCTCTATCCACTGAGCCAAACCGATCTTGGCTGTGTTGCTATTTTAATAAGTAGCAGTAGCATTATCTATTTTTTTCCATTTGTACTCTTCCCAAACCAGAGGGACTGCATATTTTCCATGCTTGTCCCCTAATTTAGGTAGGATAGAAATAAACCTTTGTCATATTTGATGGAATGTATTTTTCACAGTCTTTTTTTTTTTTTCTTTCTTTCCTATTTTACTTGTATTAATTTTTTAAGTATTTGTTTGGAGAATTTCAAACATATACAAAAGTAGACTGAGTAGTATAATGAATTGCCATCTGCACATCACTCAGGTTCAGCAATGACCAACTCATGTCCCATCTTGTCTCATCTGTAGTCCTTTGCCAGTCCTCTTCCTTAATTATTTGGAAGCAAATCCCAGATATTATTTAATCCATGATTACTTCTGTATCTTTAAAAGATAAGGACTTTAAAATTGTATTTATTTATTTATTTATTGACTCTAGAGAGGGGTACGGGAGGGAGGAACAGAAAAACATCAGTTTGTTATTCCACTTACCTGTGCATTCATTGATTGATTTTGGTATGTGCCTTCACCTGGGATCCAACCCACAGCCTTGCATATCAGGATGACATTAACTGAGCTGCCTGGCTGGGGCTGAGAGGTAGGTTTTTTAAGCCTCACCCTCATCTGCCTTTTTGCTCTTTCTTGCAGGTTTACTTACCACCATGAAGCTGCTACACCCTCACTGCTTCCTGCTGACCCTTCTCAGCTTATGGACAGCTGTTCCTGGAACTCAAGCTGTGTCCACGGGGACGCCAGCCATCAGTGCAGCCTCCTTCCTGCAGGACCTCATGCATCGCTATGGGGAGGGTGACAGCCTCACCCTGCCGCAGCTAAAGGACCTGCTTGACCACCTGTCGGTGGGAGTGGGCCCGGCCAATGTCACCCAGCCCCTTCAGGGACCGAGGAACCAGTCCACGGTAAGGCTCCCGGCTCTGCTCAGCACTCTGCTCTCGGGGCTCACAGTCCAGGCAGGCACAGGAAATGAGCTGCTGGAACAGGGGCTTGGGGTAGGCAAACCTTGATGACACAGCAGAAGCCAGCTCTTTCCAACCCCTTGGGTTAGCAAGTCTGAATCTCCAGCTGCGCTGCCTTCCCACCTGCATGGATGTTTGGAAGCCATTGCCAAAGGGTAGCGGGAAGTGGGGTTCTCAGCCCTCCAGACTCTGCTCTGGGATCACCCCAAACTGCTGGAGCTCCCAACACAGCCAGCGTTTCCAGCAGAGTTTGTAGATTACTAAGCCCTTCATCCTTTCTCCTAGTTGAGCCTCGAGGCACCTCTAGGTGCAGGTGGAAAACCTTTATTCTGTGGGTCCCATAGTGAAATCCTGGAGGGACCGGGACTTCTGGCTCTGTTTTTTCCCCCCATATCGTCTTGGCTAATCTGAATCTCGGGCTCTTTGAGGCAGCCAGGTAGAAGTCAACCAGCAGTTGCTTTCTATCTATTTTGTTTTCTATGCTGAGTGTTGTGAGAAATAGGGAAAAATTGAAACCGGACAACGAATGGGTCCAGACTGCCTTTCACTACTTGAGCCAGTTAAGCAGACAGCATGGGAGAGCAGTAGGTCATCCACACAAATCTGCTCCACCCTCCTGCCCCCATAAGCCAGCTGCTTATTATGGGTAGAAGGACAAGATTACATGGGGAAGCAGGCAAAAGGAATCAGAGTGGGTATAACGGGTACAGATCGCCGGGAAAGCAGCTGGGTGGGGGCGGGGGCTGGGGCTTCCGGGACTTCGTTGTTCCTCTTGGCAGCTGGCTTGTTAATCTTTCCATGATGATAGGCAAGGAGAATGAGTGCGAGGTTAACTCTCAGGTCCAGGGGCATAAAACCTCCAGCCAGGTCAGAATGTGCTTTCTTTAATCAGAACAAACCCTGGTTAACAGAACGTGATTAATATTTCTTACAACTATAGCTAGTCCCCACTATTCTGACTCTCCCTCCCGCCCCTAACAAAATGAGTCACGTATAGGGGTTTATTGTCAAGATGGGGAACTCAGCCAGTGAGAACAAAGTTAGCTGATATTGAGTGAAGCATTCGATGCTGTGGATTGGACAGTCCTTCAAGGACTGAAAAATGTGACCGGGAGGAGAGTGTGCGCTAGAACAGTCCCGGCAGGTTTGAGGTGAGATGTCCTGGAGCTTCGCCTTGAAGGAGAGATGAGGGGCCCCTTTGGCTGGGACACAGCACCGCGGGGCACCGCGGGGCGGTGGCGAGTGTCTGAGCTGGTGGGGAGGCTGCCGCAGGGGCTGACGCAGCCTGACCCCAGAGGCTTCCCGGCACAACAGCAGCGTCTTGGGGTCAGCGGAATCCTCGGCTTTGAAGGCCCAGAAACTCCCTTGTCCACACACCTGGAAGGCTGATTCTAGAGATAGACCCGCGTAAACCCAAACTCAGATAAAGACTGACATGTACGAAGTATAATTAGAGGGAAAGCTGCCGTGTTTCATAGGAACAGTGTGTGAGAACAACGCCCCTGCTGTCCCCCAAGGGTTGAAGAGTTCATGGCCAATGGATGCTGATTACTCTCTTCCCCCCTTCTTCCCTCCCCCCTACCCCCATAGCTCTGGAGAAGTATCTGGAATCTGCAGTGTAATAGGATAGTTCCCTGGGCTATTGTGATGTGCAGCCAGATTTGCTATCTGGTTGAATCTGTCTCAAGGTGTGCAAATAGGCTCATGTTTTCTAGAAAGCACATTCCAGTAAGGATGATTGTAATTCAGTTTCTTCTAGAACCTCTGGCAGCCCTTACAGATGTTGTAGGTAGGGTATGTACATGTATAAACCCGATGGCTGATCTCGAAGATAACTTGTCCATTTTTTTCCTATTAATAGTTGAAGGACCACCTTGCTCCCACCCTGTAGATTAGTCTTACAGAATCAGTGATACTTGGACAGTTCTTTCTCAGAAGGCTGAGTCGGTCACTGCCTGGAGCAAGGTATGGCTGTTTCTAAGGCTCTCTGCCTCTCGTCTGTTCCAGTGCTTCAGTTCCGGAGCCCTCTTTGCCGCCCACAACCTCAGCAACCAGTCTCGGATCGGGCCGAGTGAGTTCCAGGACTTCTGCCCCACCATCCTCCAGCAGTTGGACTCCAGGGCCTGCTCCTCGGAGAACCAGAAGGATGAGGAGAACGAGCAGACGGAGGAGGGGAGGCCGAGCAGCGTGGAAGGTGAGCTGGGACAGGAAGGCCTGGCCCCCGTGCTTATCTCCACATGGACCTCCGCTGATGAGTAGTGCTGCTTGTTCAGTGTGTGACTGGTGAGCAGCTGTCCACACCAGGAGGGGTGCGTTAGAGTGACGGTGATACTGGTGCCCTTGCATGTTGTCCGATGGGCCAGTGTGGCCAGAGCAATGGTTAGCGTTGGGCTCTTTGGATCAGCCCGACTATGGATTGCTTTTTATGGCCACTTTGCCACTTTAGTTTTCATGAAACTATAAGGGAGCCAACACCTTGGCTTTTCATTTGGCATTTCAGGCCTTACAAGGTCTGTCGTCAGACCATTCCATCCTTCTCCCGCCCCTGCCCAGGACCCCTGCTCCGGCCTCAGGGGACTCACCGTGGTCTGTGAGTGCACATGGCCCCCCCAGGCCCAGGTAGCCCTTCCAAAGGGCCGCCATGCCGGTGTGTGCTGCCCACACTGGCACCCAGGACTGGCTCCCTGTGCCACGCCTCATTGTTTCCCACTATCATTCTTAAACGCTTAGTCCTTCATGTTTTCACCTGCCTCCATCTAAAAGGCAAACTGCTTCTGGACAGCAGCGGTGCGGTGTTTGTTTATGGCTCTCCGCAGCACCCAGCAAGAGGCGGCCTCGGCAAATCCCTCCTGCGGGGTCGGTGCCTGTCTGTGTGCCCTGACCACGGCTGGATCCCGGGGCCGCCCAGGCCGCAGCAGCACCACTCTCAGTAATGGAGGCCCCGTCTGTTCTTGTTCCTCCACAGTGTGGGGCTTTGGTTTCCTCAGTGTCTCACTGATTAACCTGGCCTCTCTCCTGGGAGCCCTCGTCCTGCCCTGCATGGAGAAAGCGTTTTTCAGCCGCGTGCTCACTTACTTCATCGCCCTGTCCATCGGAACGCTGTTCTCTAACGCGCTCTTCCAGCTCATCCCAGAGGTGCAGTAGAATGGAGCGTGCGCGTCCTCTCTCCCTGGGCATCCGCCGAGCCTGCCCCGCCCCAATCCAGCCCCTGCCCCGTGCTCCAAGGCACCAGACAGCTGCCCCCTGCCAAATCACCTTCTCCGTCATATCAAGGGACACAAATGAGTCTGACTTTGGATCTCCAGGGCCTTCTCTCACTCCTGGGGCACCCAGGGGTCCTCCGGCCCCATCAGGTGATGTCAGGTGCAAGGCTCTTAGCGTTTACTCTATCGGGGGTCTCAGCCTCCTGCCTCAGGGCCTTTCCTAAGCCCAGTTGCAGGGTGGTCTCCACCCATGTCCTTGGTGCTCTGTTCTAAGCAGAGGCCCTCACAGGGCTCAGGGGTGACCACCAAGAGATTATCCAACTGGAATGAGGCAGAAGTAAGAGGTTACTGGCTAATAAGTAGAACTGGCCTAAAAGGTGAGCGGTCCTTTTTTTTTTTTTTTTTTTAAATCAGGCCACAGTTTGTAGCAGAGAGCCAAACATAGAACAAAGGCTTTCAAAACAAAGGAGATGAAGATTACAAGATAAAGGAGCAGGGGCCCTCCATCCTTCCTGCCTTGCATCTTGACTTTCTCCTGATAGGACTGACTTCCTGGTGCCCTTACTTGACTGTTTGGAAATGTTTAATTTTGTTTTTTAATTATGACCACTGAGGAGCTAAAAGAAATAAGACCCAGGTTGACGGTCTGCCCCCCTTGTCAGCTCAGGCAGGGCCAGGCAGGGGAGGTGATAATGCGGGGACCTCCTTTGGGGATGGTCTTTCTTAAAGAACCTGTGTCAGGGGCCGCCTCGCCTTTCTCAGCCAGGAGAGATGCCAAATGCGGTGCCCAGACCTTATCTGTTCCTTCTTAACAATGGGAGGAAAGTCTGGTTTAAGTTAAACCATCTCGGTTTTGTCTCAAAATTCCCATGAAGCACTTCACAGGGGAGGCCTCATCTTGGGCTATTTTTTTCAGCTCCAGAAATCAGATTTATTAATTTTTTAATAATTAAGTTTACGAAATGCCTGGTTACCTGTTGAATGGAAATAGAGTAATTGTACGCGCTCCGGCCCTGTGGCTCACGGGAGTGCCTCATCCTGGCCTCACTGGAGTGTGTGACGCTGGGAAATGGTAGAGGAAATATTTGCTGTGCAGGGTGGTCTTGGAACTCTGTTCTCCACACTGGATCCCTTCCAAAGCTAAGGAAAACAAACAAACAAACAAACAAATACATCTTGAGAAGAATCTGGAATTCATGGGCATTAGGCCTTATTCGTCCCAATTGCTTGGCCCTGCACTGGGTTGTATCTTGTGCCCTGGGTTGGTGCACGTGCCCATGCAGTATGGGTTGGGTACACAAAGCAATGTGGTGGTAGCACGGCCATCAGCCGCTCTTGTTTTCTATTAACGAGAGCCTTGGGTCCAGTGTCTGCCTGGCAGCTTCTGGGTAGACCTGCACAGACCATGACCGTATGCCGAGGTGGCAACCCCCTGTGCCAGTCACACCAGCTGGCAAGAGTGACCTGGGCCAGCGAAGACAGTGGGGACAGGGGCCACAGAGTTCCAAGGCCATCTTGAATTCCTCTTCTGAATTAATTAAAGGAAATTTCATCAGACTTGAATCACTAACAAATTTTCTATTTCTCTCTCCCTCCCTACTTGTCTCTCTGATTTTTCCTTTTGTTGCCTTTGTTAATTTCCACCAAAACCTTCCTTGTTGCTCCCCTATTCCCTCCACCTTTCCTCCCCCCTAAATGGCATTATCATGCCATGGGTGCTTGCCCTTCTCCCTGTCCTGGGTGGGCCTGGCTCTCCCCCAATGGCAGTGTGGGGGTATGGTCTCCTCTGCGTGACCATCATCTCCCTCTGCTCCCTCCTGGGGGCCGTTGTGGTGCCCGTTATGAAGAAGACCTTTTACAAGCGGCTGCTGCTCTACTTCATAGCTCTGGCGATTGGCACCCTCTACTCCAACGCCCTCTTCCAGCTCATCCCTGAGGTATGGCGAGCCAGGGCCCCGCACCCAGGAGCACACTGTCTCCTGGGGGCAGCGGGCACCGTGGGAGGACCTTCCAGTTCCATGGAAGGCAGAGAAAGGAGGTGCTTTCCTTCAGGAAGGTGAAGCGAAGACCAGGGCAGAACTAGGGTTTAATGTGGCACAGGATTCAGAGCTGGTTCCAATCCAGCTTCCCTGTTGACAAATTGTGTGACTCCTGGCAAGTCACTTCCCCTCTGTCTTATTCCCTCACTATGTGGAATGGGCCTGACTTGATGATGGCATGAGGGTCAGGTGACTTAATGTTTATCAGGTGCCTGATGCCTCGTAAGTGCTAACTGTTGGTGAAAAGGTGTAGTGCAGTTAGATCACTTACAGCTCCTGATTTATGGCTCTGGCACACAACAAACAAATACTCAACAGAATCCATAGGCCACGATAAAAAGATCCGTCCTCCGTAGGGCGTTTTGAGGCAAAGGTAGTCATCCGAGTAGAAAGTCTGGTGCCACATGCATTGGAGGCGCCTTTGACCCTGGGCCCGGGTTAGTGAGAAAACCCTCCCAGAGGAGCAGGGAGCTCAGACTCGGAGGGTTTGGCAGCGGCCCCAGAGAAGCTTCATCTGGCTGGAAGTCATTGGCAGCAGACCCGCTGCTGACGGCAGCACAGGTGTTCACCCCAGGTGGTCTGACAGGCCTGGGCAGGGGAGGGGAGCACAGAGATGCCGCCACATGCTTCTCCTAACGTTTTGTTTTCCGAGATGTGGTTCTGTGTTTTCTCAGTGGCTCCTGAGATAAACTTCTGGAATATCTAGAGAACGAGTAATGTCTTACTCGTTTACCAGCTGAGGAACCCAACCCGGACCGAGCCCCTGTCCCAGAAGCCAGGCTCATGGCTCCTGGAGCCGTGCTCTGTCCTCTGCCAGTGCCCTGGCTTCCGTGGGGAACGCTGTTGCCTCTTTTTACCCCCCTTTCCTAAGATGATTTAACTGTCCTGGAAAGTTGATCCAAATGTATTCTTTCCACTCTAGAATTTGACCTTGATGTCACTTAGAAAGCTAATAACTGGGTAGAGATTGCATTTTGTCCCTTAAAAGCAGAAAGGAAAAACAGCTACCATGTAGGCAGCCCAGAGTTCCTGGTTCTTACGATCACTTTTATCTTGGACCCATTCATGAAAAGGCTGCAGTTTATTGTCTTCATGAGAAGGAGGGGATTTATTCCCTTAAAGGGGCAGCTACCTGTCAGAAAACTGAGGAGCAGGTCACCCGTCTCTTTCCCCAGACCCCACTGCCAGGGGCATCCTTGAGAAAGGAATTATCTTGATTTCTACTCCAGTCTACTCCCCAATGGATTCCACCTTCCAAAATGAGTACAGTTTCCAGAAAGGACTCAAAACAGAACCCCCAAGTTGACACAGTCTGCTTTCTCGGCTTTGTGGTCGCTGGGAGGTCTGTGGTCGGGAAGCTGCCGCAATCCTTGCTATTTAACTGGGGAGTGGATGTCCCATTTTAGAAACTGTAATTACACCACCTCCCTTTGTGTCTACGAGCAGGTCACGCAGGGACATGGGGTAGCGGTGAAAGTGAACACAATCATCTTCTCTTTAAATATGGGATTTGCAGGCAGAGTCTAGCAAATGGGGAAATGGGGGTAAGAGCCCTCATTAAAAGCAGAAAACGGTCTCCAGGCTGTTCTGCCTGACAGCACTAGTCTGAAGACGATCTGTCTTCTGCATCAGAAAGTAAGCTAGAGAGAACCGAGGAGGGACAGTCGGGAACCATGAGGAGTTAGCTTCCGCTGCAGAGGGATGGACGGACGGATGCCAGCTGTCCCAGTGCGCTTGTCTCCCTCCTCTCAACCAGGGAGTAGGTGAGAGATGAGAGGGGACCCTGGAGAGTGCTTCTTTTCTTAAACTTATTTTCTTCATTTGGGTCCACAGGCCTTTGGTTTCGACCCTCTGAAGGATCATTACGTCTCCAAGTCTGCAGTGGTGTTTGGGGGTTTCTACCTTTTCTTTTTCACAGAGAAGATCTTGAAAATGCTTCTTAAGCAGAAAAATGAGGTGAGGCCCGGTTGTTGGTCAAAGAGGTGCTCCCGGGGCAAGCACCTGCCTCCGAAATGCTGCGTGTCGCGGTGGTGGGTCCTCGGCACCCCTGCAGGGGCCTGGGGTGGGAGGGGGCAGCAGAGCCCACAAGTTTCATGAGTGGGGATAATAGCAGGTGGCACGGGCAGACCAGAAACCAGATCTGGCCTGTGTGCCTTTTACTAGGCAGTAGTTTGTTCCCTCTGCTTTATTCTAAATTATTTCCTTCACGTACTTATGCCTTTAGGAAACGAAAGAGGGGCTGGAAATGAGCATGCACTGTGTATGAAATATGACCCCAAAGAACTAACTCGGATTATTACAGTATAGATCCAGAAAGACGCCTTCAGTGCCTGCTACGTAGTTATTCCCCAAATAGTTACTGAATTGAATAAAATTAGCCTCTGCAGAGGAGAAGCTCTAAGATTTTGAGCAGAGCTGCCTCTCTGGAATGAGTGGGCCCTGCGGTCACTGCTTTGGTATCTGTCCTGTGCCAGGCCCTTGCATTCACCTTGGTTCAGCTCTAACATGCTGGGTTCCTATGGGTGTTGCCTGCTTGTGATTGTTCTGGTGGTGGGAATGGGGTCTTCCCAGTGCCTGGAGCACTGACTCAGAGCAGGTCTCAGGAAGCTTTATGGTCTTGGTGAGAGTCATGCTCACCACTCCTTGTGGTCCCTCCAGCATCATCACGGACACAGCCACTATGCCTCCGAGGCGCTTCCCTCTAAGAAGGACCAGGAGGAGGGGGTGACGGAAAAGCTGCAGAACGGGGACCTGGACCACATGATTCCTCAGCACTGCAGCAGCGAGCTGGACGGCAAGGTGCCCGTGGTGGACCAGAAGGTCATCGTGGGCTCGCTGTCCGTCCAGGTCGGTGGGTCAGCGCGGGGCGGGGGCCCATGAGGGATGACGGCCGTGGTGACTCAGGCCTACCCTGAAGGTCCACCGTCCACCCCTGACCTGGGCGCCGTGGGGCCCGGCTTTCTCGTAGGACCTGCAAGCTTCCCAGAGTGCCTGCTATTGGCTGAAAGGCATTCGCTACTCCGATATTGGCACCCTGGCCTGGATGATCACCCTGAGCGATGGCCTCCACAATTTCATCGACGGCCTGGCCATCGGGGCCTCCTTCACTGTGTCCGTTTTCCAAGGCATCAGCACCTCGGTGGCCATTCTCTGTGAGGAGTTCCCACACGAGCTGGGTGAGTGCATAGGCCCCCAGCCCTGTTCCACGTGGCTACCTGGTGATTGGCACGAGCACCCTCTTACGGCTGACTCCTCCCCAACTTCTAAACACTTGTTATAATTGACTAATACACTCTTTATGCGAGGGGAAATCTAACCACCGATTCTGAACAGTTGAATTAATAGTTACTGTGGCTCAGTTTCCTCCCTATATGTCAGGGTAGGGAGGAAACAGTGCCTGCCTCAGATTTATCATGAAGGTAACAGGGAAAGTACTGAAAAGGGACTTTCTTCACGCCGTACCCTATTCTAAGTGCTTGGCGTGAGTTATTTGTTACATCCTGTTAATCTCCCCGCGACTGAGTTGCACATGAGAAGTCTGGAGTTGGAAGGAGGTAGATGAGCTGGGAGTTTTGTGGAGACCCTTTGTTTTATCGGAGGGAGTGTAAAAAGTCTGGACTTTGGAGGCTCAGAGACTCAAGGTCAAGTCCTGGTGTTGCCACTTATTGGCTTGTGACCGTGGGAAAATTACTCAACTTCCCTCAGTCTCACTTTTGTTTCCTGAAAATACACCATTCATTGTGGTTCTGTATAGGGAAGCTCCTCTGTTTGGCCATCAGTCAGGAGAGAAATGAGGCTGTGGCTTGTTGGTTGTCTGTTTTGCATTGTTTTCGGCCTCTTGTCTGAGACATACACGGCCAGCTTTGCAAACAGAGGTAATTCCTGGGCACGCAGCGGGAGCTGCCTCCCCCTTGTCCCTGTAATCTCATGTCTGGGGCTGTCTCGATTTCCGCGCAGACGTGACCCACACTTGAAGCAGTCTGTGCTCATCGTGCTCTCGGTCCCACCTCCTGGAGTGACTCCGCACTCTCCCCGCTGTCCTCCCTCCCTAGGAGACTTCGTCATCCTGCTCAACGCTGGCATGAGCCTCCAGCAGGCACTCTTCTTCAACTTCCTTTCTGCCTGCTGCTGTTACGTGGGCATGGCCTTCGGCATCCTGGCCGGCAGCCACTTCTCTGCCAACTGGATCTTCGCGCTGGCCGGAGGAATGTTCTTATATATCTCTCTGGCTGATATGGTAAGTCCTGCGTAGTTTATACCTTGAGAAAATCACAAAAGCTGGACTGGGTTATTGAAGTGATTGGGTGGGAGGACAGCTAAGGAGACATTAGTTAGGAGTTTCTTATGACAGCTTTGTATAAGGAAGAATTATTCTCCTACCACACAGTTCACCCACGTCAAGTGTACAGTTCAATGTTTTTAAAGGGATTTAAGATTTTAAATAACAAAGAGCTTGTTTCCATTAACGTATGTCCTTAAAGAAAATGATTACTGCTTTAATCGGTTTGACTCAGTGGATAGAGCATCGGCCTGCAGACTTAAGGGTCTTGAGTTCGATTCTGGTCAAGGGCATGTACCTTGGTTGCAGGCTTGATCCTCAGTGGGGGCCTTGCAGGAGGCAGCTGATCTGTGTTTCTCTCTCATCCGTGTTTCTAACTATCACTTTCCCTTTATCTCTGTAAAATATCCATAAAAATATAATTTTTAAAAAAAAGAAAGAAAATGATTACTAAAGTCAGCTCCAGGGTCCTTCCCTAAAAATGGGAATATTATAGGATAGATACATATAGGTCAATGGAAAGCGTTATGAGCAGTGTCTAGATGTATACATTGTACCATTCCCATTAACATCTGGTGTGGCAATTTAAGTAGTTTTGAGTTTGCTACTGAAATACCTGATTTTCACATGTTGTACAACTAACCTTTTTTTTGTGTCATTTTCTTTAACATATTTGTGTGAATTGTTTTCTATAGCTTTTGAAAATAAATCATTGTTGTTATTAATCCTAGCCCCACAATATTTCTCCATGGATTTGAGACAAAGTGGAAGTAAGGAGAGAAGGAGAGAGAGAGAGAGAGAGAGAGAAACGTCAATTGGTTGCCTCCTGCACATGCCTTGACAGGTGTTATATGTTATAACAAATAACATGCCAGATATATGCCCTTGACGAGGAATTGAACTCATATTCCTTCGATGCGAGAGCTGGTGCTCTAACCATTGAGTTACACTGTCCAGGGCTGAAAATAATATTTTTGAGAGATGAAGAGAGTAGACCACCAAGATCCAGCCTCTCCATGGAAACATTTTAGAGTCTCCTTTCCTATGGGGAGCCCTCCCCGCAGTGAGGGTTTTTTTTTTGCAGTACTTGAATTTGAAGGTCTCCTTGTTGCCTGCCTTGCTGACCAGCAGTGAGAGGCCTTGAGTCAAAGCTCCAAACTCTGGCCCCTTGCATAGTTGCTCAGTTTCCCTAAGAAGAGACAATAACATTTTGATAGCAAAATATATCTTTGTGCTGAAACCGGTTTGGCTCAGTGGATAGAGCGTCGGTCTGCGGACTAAAAGGTCCCAGGTTCGATTCCAGTCAAGGGTAGGTACATTGGTTGCGGGCACATCTCCCGTGGGGGGTGTGCAGGAAGCAGCTGGTCGATGTTTTTTTCTCTCTCTCTGTCTCTTTGCAAGTATTTTTAAGGATCACAATAAAAAGTTTATTTTTATCAAAGCAGTTATTTTTAGCCAATACCTAACCACATCCAGGACGACATGCACGTGTCGTATTTTGTTTTACCTCCGTAGATGTAAAGTATGGTTGACCCTTGAAAAACAAGGATTTGAACTGTGCAGGTCCATTCGTACATGCATTTTATTTATTTACTTATTTTTCAGTAAAAACTTATACTGCTTTCAGTCTGTGGTTGGGAACCCATGGATGTGGAGGGCCTACCATGGGCTTTATTCTAAGCCATTTTATATAGTGGCCTTGAGTGTGGTGCGGGGTCCTGGAATCAATCTCCTATGATACTGAGGGAGAGATTAGTTTTGTGAGAGTCAAGTTACTCGTGGATTTTCAAATGCACGAGGGTCAGCACCTCTTTCTTACCCCCATTTTCAAGGGTCCGCTATAATGTAATAGCCTTGGAGAAAGGCTATTACATTCAAGTTCTAGAGGCTACTGCTTTAATTTTCTTTGTAAACCAATTGATGTGTGTGTGTGTGTGTGTGTGTGTGGTGATCGAAGCATGAGTGTATGGTGTGGAAGGGCAGGTCCCAGCTGACATCTGGACCCCCGGGGCCCCGCGTGTTCTCCCTTCGCCTGAGTCATCATGCCCCTACCCAGCTCCTCAGCACCTGGGAGCCAGGCAGCGGCATCCCCCGCTGCTGCTGCTGGTCACCATCTGTGGAACGATCGATATGGACCAGGCTCCTGCTCACACCCGCCTTGGTCTGGTGCCACCCACTCACCTGCTTCAGCATCCCACTGCAGTCCTGCTCTCGTTGGGGCCCATTAGGGCCTGCAGTGCCTCCATGACACCTGCTACCAGTACCACATTGCTGACGCCTGCCATGTTCCGTGCTGTCCCCTGGTGGTCAACGCATGTCATAGTGAGCGGTCCCTGTCAGCTTCCTGCTTGAGGGGACAATTTGCATATTAGGCTTTTATTAATAGGATTATATATTATATAATTTTCATTCCGTATTAATAATAGCTATTATAATAGTCATGTTATATACTAACTAGAAGCCCAATGCACAAAGATTCATGCCAAAATGGGCCTTCCTATCCCTGGCTGCCAGCACTGCCTTCTCTCTGTCTGGAACCACCTTTCTGGCTGCCCAGAGGCCTGGAGCAGCCCGGGGCAGAGCAAGAACGCCTGCGTCCCGCCTTGCCCCCAGACACTTGGCACCTGCATATGCAAATTAACCCACCGTCTTTGTTGGATTAATTTGCATACTCACTCCTGATTGGCGGATGGGCATCACAAAAGTATGGTCAATTAGCATGTTACTCTTTTATTAGGTGGATTGTTACTATTGCTATATTAACAATATTAATAGAGTAAGTATAAGTTATTAGATATAATACTGACATTGTAATGAATTCTCCTGGATGTACAAAGTTAGGAATGGAACTGCAGCTCTCTTGTTTTTTTCCTCCTTTCTCAGTTCCCTGAGATGAATGAAGTCGCCCTGGAGGATGAGAAGAAGGGCAGCGTTCTGGTCCCCTTTGTCATCCAGAACCTGGGTCTGTTGACTGGCTTTGCCATCATGCTGCTCCTCACCATGTATTCAGGACAGATCCAGATCGGCTAGGGCCCCGTAGGAACCCGGAAAGCTGGCGGTTGGCCCCTTAGCCCTCAGACGCGGCATCCACGAGGCGCCTCGGGAGAGGCAGTTCTGTTAAAAACTGTGACACGGACTGTATTTCTCCACGTAAATGTCAATTGTTTTTTAAATGCTCTGTATTGATAATAAGCTGCCTGGGAATAGTCTCCAGGTGGCACCTCTCTCCTTTCTTCTCCCTCCTCAGAGTGACTCTGGAGCCTGAATGCAGCTTAGCCGACAAGCCTCATTTTCCCCTCTGGTTACCCTGGCCCCTTTCTCTTTGAACCAGTGCTGAGAGATTTGGGGTCCTTTGCCCCAATGCAGAAACTTAGGCAGCAGTTATAACCTGGTTAGAAATATCAGGAAGTGAATCTGTGGGTTCGGGCCTATGAATCTGTGTATCCTGGACCTCAAGATGACCCGTTTTTAAGTAAATATAGTCCTATTTTTTTTTTTTTTTAACAGAAAAGGTACAGGAGACAGGAGTTCCTGTTTTTTAATCAGTTTCAGTTGCCTCTTCTCTCAAAGAGAACAGAAAGTTGGGACAAGAGTAGGGCGGGAGGGAGGCGAGGTCACCTTGGTGTGTGTCCGGTTCAGACAGCTGCTTATGCCCACTGGAATGCTCCTCGTGTTGCCTGGCTGTCCGGCAGAGCTAACGTGTTGGTTCAGGTCCCTGGACCTCCCCCTCTTTCAGAGAAACTCTAGTAAGAACGAAGGGCAGAGAAGGAAGGCCTGCAACAAATCCACTGGTTTGCTGTGATTTCCACCTCCTCTTCCCCTCTCCCATCGTAACTGCCTCCCTAGAAGCACATTCTGAGCACATTCACGATGCTGGTGTTAGAGGGGAGACTGCACAGTTTTCCTCCCCTGGCCCACATGTCTTATGGAATCAGAGCAGCTTCAGTCAGGGTCCCGGAGAGGAATCAGTGCAGACACGGTTTAGGATTTGCTAATTGCACTAATAAGAATACGAATCTTAGAACTGTGAGATGTAAGGTCCACAACTTTGGTTGGGCATCACAGATGAGTGCAGAACTGAGGGCCCACTGAGAACGCTGTGAATGGGTTTTAACGGGCACTGTCTAGGTCACCCTCCCTCCCTCACCCCACACAAGAAAGGGCAAGTCCTGCATTGATATTAATTGCTCTCGCTCTCTTCAGAGAATGGATTGATAGACTTGTCCGCAAGCCTCGGCACTGTGGAGCCTTCTTCTCAGAACTCTGGCTTCAAGGGGAGCTAATCTCCAGGTTCACTAGGTGAATTGATTTATTATTATCATATTGATAATGTGAGACTCTTAAGCCACTTTGGGGAGCTAGTCTCTCCAGAAGCCTTTCTTAGTGGTGCCCACAGTTGCAGCCCAGGGGTTGTGTTTGCAAACTGATTCGTGTGCATGACTGACAATTGCTGGTTCATTGCCAGCACCTGGGGGTTTTTCTCTGCTACCCAGAAAAACTTCCCACTCTACAGGAATTACAAGTAGCCTCTATTTCATTTTGTTCTTTTTCTTTGAAAACATCCCCCAAACCAGGAATATTCTTGAAAAGAACATGAGCAGGAAAACTGCTGGTGATACTTTAGAAGTTTCTCCTCCTCTAGCCTGTTGACCTGAGAATGGGCTAAAGAAGGAGGAAAACCGTTACCAAGATTCTAGATTAAATATCAGGTCTGTCTCCTGATAGGTTTATGGTCCAGTTTTACCAAAGAACCAATTCCTTGAATGTTGGAAATCTAACTTTATGTTATCATTGTTATTGTTACTGATTCTTTGTCTTTTCTGTTTTATCTTTCTCAACGTGCTTTCAGGAGTTAGCAGAAAATAGCATTCAAACTTTGAGATTTTGCTTTCCTTAATTCACATTGATGTATTAAATGTCTAATTTTAGCATTCCCTATAGATCATTCCTTACAAATACCATTCTTCTTGGAGTAAATTAGTTAGGGTTAATGGGTTCCTAGTTTTAGAAGAGCTCAAAAATATAGTGTTTAACAAATTAAAAAAAAAAAATGAAGTAGTAAGGTGCTTACCCTGTCTGTGCACGTGTGTATTAAGAACCTTCCTTTCATAGACAGCTGCCTCAAAAGGAAATTCTCTTTAAACTGTAACTCGTCCAGAGGCCAGTCCCGGCTGGAACTTAGAAAGGGAGAAAACACTCAAAGCGTGCAACTGATTGCATGTTGCAATTGGCAACAGACCTGCCTCGTGAGTTGAAAATGTGGCGACTTCTTTTGGACTTCTGTTGAATTTGCTGTTTTGAAAGCATTTGTATATATTAGAAGGCTGAGAGCTAGTGAGTTTTGAGGTCATTTGCATCCCTGGCATTCACATTATCCCCTTCCCTCCCCGGATGGACCAGCTCGTATTAACCATAGCAAGGAAAGTCTGTCAGTGAACCAGGGGTCCTGTCGCCTCTCACTCTCACCCTGCCATGCAGGTTGCCTCCCTTCTTTGCCTCCGAAGGCCTTTGTGTCTAGTGTCAACTTGGGGCTTTCCTTCATTGATCCATCACCCTGGATTTTTAAAAAGGCCTCTGTTTGGGTGTCATATGACCTGTTTTTAGTAAGTCTTCTTCCAAACACATGGTAATAATGCTGGAAATCTGCTTAAAAACGAAAAGTCTGATTTTTCCAAGAGCGGTTAGGTTTTTATTGTTCCTTATTTCCTTTTATAGTTCTGCAGTTCCATCACAGTATTTTTAAAAAATAACTCAGGAGTTATGACAATAAATTAGAAAAGAAAATAACTTAAGTTATGGATTTTAAATGTTTTGTTTTTAAGATTCTATAAATAAAGCTATATTCTGTAATTGTTGAATCCCTACATGTGATTTTTTGGGGGCAATAATGTGTGTGCAATGAAGTCTGTTAAACACAAGGTGGCGATGGTGTCTAACTTGACTTCAAAGCTTTGTTTTATTGGTCCAACTTACATTTGGAGAAGGGATTTTAGAAGGAATCTTAAATATTGTAACATGCGCATTTAAATGATTAATTTATCTTTTATGGGCCTGTGACATCACTGATGTTGCATAACTGTGGTATTTCCTAAAGAGCTTTCCACTTCACTTTTCTCTTGTTATAAATCCACGATTTAAAACTTGAGTAGTAGCCGAAACCAGTTTGGCTCGGTGGTAGAGCATCAGTCTGAGGACTGAAAGGTCCCAGGTTCGATTTCAGTCAAGGGCATGTACATTGGTTGAGGGCACATCCCCGGTAGGGGGTGTGCAACAGGCAGCTGGTCGATGTTTCTCTCTCATCAACGTTTCTAGTTCTCTATCTCTCTCCCTTTCTCTCTGTAAAAATCAATAAAATGTATTTTTTTTTTTTTTTTAAACTTGAGTAGTAATTTGGTTCATGTAGATCAGGTCTCCTGTATATCTTACAGGAATAAGTCCTGTCATAACACTTAAGTTATAAACCTTTTCTTATTTATTTTAGTCATAGGACCAGGAATTTGTTTGACACTAAAAATGAGCAGTAAGATAAAAAAAAATTGATGCGATCTTAATGCAATGGTACAGGTTCCCCAGTGCTTATTGTTGCTGAGTCCTCTCACTTAAAAAAAATAAATATTTTTATTGTTTTTTCACAGAGAGGAAGGGAGAAAGAAACATCGATGTGAGAGCAGAACATAGATTAGCTGCCTCTTGCATGCCCCCTATCAGGGATCAAACCCAAGACCCTGACATATGCCTTGATGAATCAAATCAATGGAGCCACACTGGCCAGGGCAGTCCTTCCACTTTTCAAAAATAGATGAAGTGGTTCATATTGGTCTTTTAAGTATCACTATAGTAGACTACAATCTGCTCTTCAAAATGACAGTCACTCTGGACTTTGGCTTGTGCCACCTCTAGAGAGCCTATTACTGGACAACCCACCAAGTTCCTTCTGGGTGAAGCTACTCTGAGGGGTTGGCCGGCCTGCCTGCTGGTCGAACGAGTCGAGGGGACAATTTGCATATTAGCCTTTTATTATATAGGATATACACTGAGTGACCATATAATGTCTCTGAACGTATAATAATCTGGCCAGTGTATATCTGGTTTCTTTCTGTGATTTCAGCACCTGCCACCAGAATGAATGAAAAGACCAAGCGAATGCCTGTAAGTTTCGTGTGTGTGAGCATGGGCTCCTTTCCCACTGACAGCAGTTTCTGTTGTGTTTTCCTGTCCCTGGTGTTGGTTCTGCCTGAGCCTTGTTACCTGGTTCTCCTTTACTTAGAAACAGGTGTGAGAGGTGATTGTAGAACAGAGCTAAGCAAAGTAAACAGGTCATTAAGAAGTTTAAGACTTTGATCGAAGCCACGTCCTTATAATACTCTTACCCAGCTAAGCCGTTTAAGACCTTTTTGGTGGAAGGTAAATAACTATTGTGTTGCTTCTGCATGTTCTTTTACTATTCAGTGATATTAGATCTGATTTGAGCAAAACCCAATACAAGAAATAATAAAAGAACCCAGCCAGTGTGCTCAGTGGTTGAGCGGTGGCCCATGAACCTGAAGGTCATTGTTGGATTCTTGTCAGGGCACATGCCCCAGTTGTGGGCTCAATCCCTAATAGGGGGCATGCACGAGGCAACTGCTGGATATTTCTATCTCTATTCCTCTCCCTCTCTAAAATCAATAAAATATTTTTAAAAGAAATAATAAAGACACCAAATGTGGATACAAGGCTTTTGATTTATAGGGGGGAAAATACTCATCTATCTTAAAATATTTTGTACTCTCAGTGATCTAGTATGAAATACCTAGACTTCTGAAGAAGGGTAAGTCCAAATGCCAGCAGAAGTAAATTTCTTTCATCCTTGAACAAAATGAATTACATTCCATTTAAAGTAGAAAAAGTTGGTGATTGGAAAAGATCATAGGTTCTTATCAGCCCTTAGCTAAATGTTTAGAGCTGCTAGCCAAAAACCATTTGTCTTTCCAATATCACAACCCTTACTTGCCAAATCTCTACTCAGGGTTTATTTTAAATGAAAGGAG